TTCGAAGAAAAAAAGTATCCTTTGTCCTTTTTGTGCCGACAAGCTAGAACAAGTTTCTCTAAAATATTTTGCCAGCGAAAATCTTGAATGAACACGAGGGGGAAAAAAATAAATAACCAAATTTTATAGTTCAAGGGTCCTCCCATTCCGTACTGCGAATCGTGAAGCTTTCTACCTGTATTTGGCCCCCACAGCTAACATCGCCCACTTCGAATTCCTATTTTTTCCCATGGATTCCATTTCGCGCCCAAACCACCCTCCAATTTTTTTTTTTAATCCCTGGGGCAATTTTTGGCGCGAAACTGTTGCTCACAAAAGGAATAAGAAGAGGTGAATTTTTGGCGCGAAAGTTCGTTTTTAACTTTTATTCTTTGATGTGACCTTTTTATGTCCTGAGAATAGCAACAACAGCTTGGTTGTGTGTGTGACCAGATCTGTTCTCGAGCAAACAGGAAATCGTTTTTGTCAAATTTGTACAAATGCATAGAAATTATTTTCATAGAGCTGAGTATGTTTGAAAATTTTACTAAGGTGATATGAAATTGCTATATAAATTAAATCGCTACTGGTGGCAGTACTGTTATTATAAGATATATGTTCCTTTTTAGCACTGTTATAAGAAAACAATTAAATTTTTACAAAGAATGCAAAATCGATATATACCGCAATATGTAAGGTAATATATATTACATGCCCAAATTGGTCCAAGTTTTACAGTGTCTCCTTTTTGCTCGGTTTAAAATGGATACAAGACAGTTTGAAACTTAGAAATAAGCATTACAATAGAGAGAAGAGAACTGTCTTCCTCAAAGGGTTATAAAGTAAACGAACAAAAACTTGCCTATTTTTGTGCGTCTTATTTAGTACATTTTGATTTTTACGTTTATCGTTGAAATCGAAAATAACGGACACGAATATTCAAAGTTTATCATTCACAATTTTAATTCAAAAAAGAACAATTTATCTTCTTTTTTTACCAGCTTTTATCGGAGTAGTAATCATTTCCACTACAACACATGGCTCTAGCAGATCGAAGTTTTTAACTTCCTAAACATAAATACTTTTCATACTTTCTACTAATTTTTAAAGTGAAAACACTAACATAATTTATGGCTTTTATTTTTAATTTAATTCTTGCTAAGAGCAAATTGATTCTTTATTTAAAGCTACACAAATGATTTACTATAGAAAATAATATCTATTGTCTGCTGCAAAAAACAGTAATACTACACAAGATTTTTTTTTTTACATTGATCGTCTGCTATGAATAATTATCAAAGCAAACGATCCTCTTAAAAGGATTGTATTTCCGGAAATCTCTGGGGCAATGAATTCAGAATAGATGCTACTACATTCTTCATATTTAAATCGTTCTTTTTGGCAGACAAAGAAAAATCACTAAGACAACAAGTCCAGTCTTTCATTCCATTTCCTGTAAAGGAAGCGGAGTGGAGAAGCTTTCAACCTTAATTTGATATTCATACAGTCACTTCTTCGACTGGGATAATGATTCTTTTTATACATATATATATATCTCAAGGCGACCATCAAGTAAGTGGGCGTAAGGCCAAAAACTAAATGAGAAGAGTTGAGATGTGCAGCGGCGGGGAAGGAGTTCAAAAACTGCCCGTTTCATCATAAGCGTTGGAACGATATGAATCTTCTATAAAACGCTTTATCACCCCCCTCACACCCCTTGCCAGGACTCTGCCAGCAATTTAATGGTTAATAAGAAACCCTCTCACGTCCACGCAGCAATTGGGATAATTATTGTTGTCTTCCTTTTTTAGTGTAATGAGAAAGTCAGTTCCGTTCTTTTAGTTGCGAAAGTTGAGAGTATTTATAACGAATTAAAATCAAAAATAGTAGTTCCATATCTTACTAAAATGTATTTTACTAAATCTGAAAGTTGGGAGTATTTATAACGAGTTTGGCACCAAAAATAAAAGTTCTATATCTAAATAAAATGTAAGTAATCTAATAAATTTTACTAAGTTACATATATAATAATTAAAAAGCGGTTCGTATCGAGATTTTTATTAAATATCGAATTTGAATTACCTGAATGATAATTGAAAAGCATAAGCTAGAAGGATCTAAATTAATACTTGTAATTGAAATAACACATCTCAGTGTATTTGAAACTAAAATTTAGAAAAGCATGTAACACGTTATAATGTTTGCAGTAAAATATAAGTAGTTTAAAAAGCATAAGACAGTTTTTTTACGCAAGTATTAAATTTGATATATTAACTAATTTTATCTAATTCATCTAAAAAAAAGAATAAAACCAATTAATTGTTAAGAAAATTAAAACAATAAGAAATATTAACTTAATTTTTTGTGAAATGGTCTGAGTTTAAAAAAAAAAAATTATTTTCTTCACCTTTGCTTTATTTAAAATTAGCCAATCAAAAGTACAAAGTACTATGTTTAAGTTTATATATATATATTTAAAAAAAAAAAAGATATTTAAAATTTTATGCTACCTAGTTCTTACAATTATGCATATAAATACTTTTAAATTCTATTAAAAATACAAAAATTGATAGAACATAAAAAAAAGAGACATTTTGTTATCTACAAATAATTATATAAAAATATGTATTAAATAGTAAGTAAACTATAGACTTCACTATCTTTTTTAAATATTTTCTTCACTTTAGTGCACACTGCACATTAATGTTGTTTAGAACTATTTATGAATCATTAAATTTAAATTTGTCGTTAAAAACATTCTTTGAATTGACAAAGCATACAACTAAGCCAATAAATGCTTCACTTGTTTTAGTAACCAAAAGATAACACACAATCTAAGAAAAAATTTTCTTATTTTTTATACAACTAAACTTTCTGTACTACAACTAAAGGAATTTCATTCTACACTAATATTGCATAATCGAATAATCCATCATTATTCTTATTTACATGAATTAACCTTTAATTGTAATGTGATTTAATAATATGATAGATTGCATCAACTTCAAGGCTAGTGTAGTACTTCAAAAAGCTGACAGTTCCTATTTATAGGAGGAATTCTATAAACAAAAGGTGAAGGTTATTTCACTTCACTTCTTTTAACAACTGAGTTCATTTTGCTCATTAATTAAAGGGTCAGATCGTTTTCTGGTAACAAAAGAAAAGAGCTTCATTACAGGTTTCGAAGCCTATTATTATTTCCCTGGGTTTCGAACCTAATCGTAATTCAACCCGAATGTTCCACCCGGACGGAGGTTAAATTAAAGTAGTTAGAACAAAATCAGCTGTCGACGGTGTAGAAGGGATATCCTGCATATGGCGCATGCAAGGGGCGTGACGGGCATGACACGCGGCGCGCGCGACGCATGCGTGCCAGGTGACCGGGGCAGATGTAACCCTTATTTTACATCTGCACACCTATACCTTCCTTTGATTAACCATGCAAAGGGGGGGAAAGAAGACGGGGTTATAATATGCAGATGAAGTGTCTACATTTTAGAGAGGAAGTGTATCAACTTACTAAGGAAATGCAATGTATGCATGAAATTATTGATTTTCTATTTATTTTTGATGATCGCACATCAATCGTTACAATCTACATTGTTTTATTATTTAACACAAATCCCAAAAATATTGACACTGAAAAATAATTAAAATAAATTTAAATGTAAAATGTAAGAAAGTAAAAAAAAAAAAAAAAATCGCATATAACAGTATACGTAAATGTGAATAATAATCTTAAAAATATCAACATTTATTCACTATTCTGTTAATTATAAATTTGAAGTATAGTAAAATTTAAAATAAAATAAATAAATAAAAAAGCTACGTTGCAAATTTCAAGTTGTAATTTATGTAATAGCTTTAATGTAGAAGAAATAAAATGTATAAAATGTAGAAGAAATACATAATAAATTTTTTTTTCTTCTTTTTGAATTTAAGTAAATAAAAAAAAGTGGTATAATAAAACTTGACATATTTAAATTTCAAAAACTTAAACATGATTATTAAAGCACCTTAGCAGTGAATAATTGAAATAAAATAATTCTTTTTCTATGAAAAACAAAATAGTTTCTTCTTTTTTTTAAAAAAAAATTGATTGAGCATGCAAAACAAAAATACTAAGAGTTGGTGTTTTCTTTCTTTTTTGTGATTCTTATAGTAAACTAAGAATACGGGCTGAAAATTCTTATGAATAAATTAAATAAATATCAATAACAAAATAACTTAGTTGACTTAAGGATTTGTGAAAAAAATTAAACCATACAATAGAAGAATATCTTCACAAAATATAAATGGGAAAGTTCTATTATTAATTAGAAATCCAACCTTTATTAAATAATAATTCCCATCCACAAATTCCTACACAAAAACTATAAAAATATTTCAAACCCATAACCTACCAAAATCAGTAATTAAATCTCACTTTTAAGACCATTTAACTAAAATGATAAGTAAATAACATTTCATCTACGTTTGAAATCATTAATTTAATATATTGTGATCACGGGTAATGTGAACTTTCATCGTTATATGATATAAATCACAAACATACAAAATTTATTAAAATATTTGTGTGCAAAGTCACTTCATGCCCCCATGTATAAGATACGCCAGCGCCACCCTTACTATGTCGTAACATAGTGTTTACTTTTCACTTTCAAGAAGTAAAAAATCATCTTTTTGGATTTAAATAATAAAGTTAGCACTTTTCTTTAATAAAATGCAATCCATTTATACCAATAATGTCCGTTTGTTTTTCAAAAGAATAGTAAACAACTTTTTTCGAAGAATAGTAATAAATAAAAGTCAACGGCCTAAAAATTAAAATTTTTACAGAACAAGGAAGGATCTAAAATGTAGACTGCATACCCTTAAATATATATGTATTTAAGAAACTAAATTATTGTGCACGAAGTTCAGGAATTGATATGACTCATCATTTTTGCAGAGGCGTCAAGATCTGTCACTATCAGAAGATAAAAACCAATAACTATTAAAAATTTAAAATATGAACTTACCAATGAGGAGAAGTGCAACAGTAAGATGTTCTCTTCCAGTAGCTTTGACTACACCTACAATTGTTCCAACAACAGAGCACATAAGTCCTAAACAAGCAATCACCACAACAAGCCATCGAATAGCCACACTATGTGTCGCCAGAAGACCACAGCATTGCTTCCTAGCTTGTCGACGTGGTGTAACCAAATCTGGCAGTGGACACTGTGTCAACACATTCTGTGACGGTGAAGTCACAGTACTAGGTCTCCAACAATTATTGTTGGTTTGTTGAGAGTTAGACCAAGTCAGGCTGTTGCTGGGGTTTTGGGTACTACTGCTAGGGGTATCTGTGGTGGTTTGTCTCCCGATGTGGGCGTTTCTGGTTACCCAAGGACTAGTGGAACTGCTGATGGTCGATGTATGTTCTCTCTTCCACTGTTGTGGTGTGGCTATGTTTGAGGAATCTAACCGTTGCTGTTGAGTCCTTAGAGCCTCATGCTGTCTACTGTTTATGGTAGCTGATGAGGACATCGGAGAATGTGATAATCCATCTTGATGGGTTCTAGCACAGATGATACCTTGAGTAGAACTACGAGATACAGCCTGCGTTTGATGCTGATGATGAATATCATACGAACTGTTAGATGGTACACGCGAATCATATACTCCACCAACAGGCACAGAACGTGTTCGGGCATGTTGTATACTAAGGTTCGTTTGCGTATGATGAGTGACATCAGGTAAGCGACCTAAGCTTGACTCAGCACGACGAGTCACATCGGGGGGATGGTTTTCCAAAATACCCCTAATTCTCCATGTATCGCCAGCAGACCGAGTAGAATGGGTATCACTGGAATATCGCATTGAACCCACATTACTAGCAGAATTTAAATGTCCGGTCGGGACATTGACCAACGGCCGGACATTTTGATAGTGGTGAACAGAAGCTGGAGATGTGTATGAACGATTAGATCTCCTGCACAAGTCCGGGTATCCGTTGGAGTTATTCCTCGATTCGGGGATGTTGTTGTTACTACCGAATTCGAACTGTTGTTGGGGTCGAGTCGAATTTTCCCAGATTTGACGAGATATGTGACTAGGATCCACTCTACACCTGGGGCATGTGACGTGACTTCGTGGTCGATTGCGAATTTCGACAGGAATACTGAGAGAGCGGTTAAACTCCGCCATCTTTATAGTAACAAACTGAGAAGAATCGATCGTTAAGCATCACCAAGGAGCACTTCCGCAATCCTCACCCTCTAATATGCAACTCGCGTCTGCGTAAATAGTTTTGGCTGCAGAGAGTTGACGGTTGTGTTTTCTTCCTTCCATTACGGGTGAGGGAGAGGGGGATCCAAGCTAGATTTATACTACTGCCATCTGTTGAGGAATTATAAAGATAGCAAATCGTGTTTGCAGAGAAAAAAAAGTATACTTTCCTGGTACGGAAAATAAAAATTAAATTTTGAAGTTGTTTCTATTCATTTATTGAAAAAAAATTCGTCATTATACATTTTTTTTTATTTCATTGAAATTTAAAAATGCAAATAATTATTTTTTGAAGTATTTATTTATTTGTCATAATTATTTTCATATATTTATGTTGTCTATATATTTACTTACGCATTTTATTTATTTACTGAATTATTTATTTCATTTAATTTATTTGTTTATTTAAGAATTGTCTTAATTTACTTACTTATTTATTTCAATCAGAAATATTATTCTATAAACCTAAAAAATTGTCCAATGCTTTTTAATTTATTTGTATTTACCAACGGTTTCTTACACTGAGTACCGCTTTCATAATTCTTAAAATTAAATCAGCAAAACTATTGAAATGAATTATTTTAATTAACTTTATTTAATAATTTCTTTCTAAAAAATAATATAATTAATTTGTTTGTTAACTTTTATAGTACATTTATTTCATAATTTATTTTATTAGTTTATTTACTTATTTAATGCACGTAAGAAATCGTATCTATTGTAAACGATAAATAATTTATACATTGTAAAACGGCACTTTACACTAAATACCACTTAAATACTTCTTAAAATTAAATAGTAAGAGCCAAATATAAAAAGTGTATTTAATTACTTTTATTTAAACTATTCAAATATTTATATATTTTATTATTATATATTTTATAGGTTTATATCCTTAATTATTTGAAGCAATAATATTCTTCTATGCAATATAAAAAAGTTGGACTTTACAACATTATTTATTGATGATACTTTAAATAAAGTATTATTTTCACTCTTCCCAAAATTAAATAGCCGTAGCAAAATTATTTTTTTATTTTATTTGTTTTTGCTTTTATTTCATCAGTACCACAAGTAATAAAACGTTATTCATTATTTATTTATTTCATTTGTAGAAAAGCAAGTAATTTATTTCTATCAAAAATATCCTTTTGTAAAATCTTAAAAATTTGGACATAGCGACTAAGCTGCGCTTTATTTAAGTGCATTTACGGAAATATAAAAGAGTAAAAGAAAGTAATAAAGTATAAAAGAAAGGAATAACTTACCAAAAGTGGTATTTTAAATTATATACGTACCACTTTCATATACTAAATTAAATATTGCAGCAAATATTATTTAATTATGAATATTCATTTTTTTAATAAAATAATATTTGTATGTAATAATAAAATATAGAACCAAGACAGTCGTCTTTAGTGTAATAATAGAACAATTCAAGAATTTGTAATTGGACTTGAAATGGAGAAATTTTTTTCAGCATATTCTGGTGTATAAGTCGACTTTTCAAACCCCAAAATCTTACGAAAATCAGGGGTCGACTTATACGGCGGGAATAAAGTGAAACATTTGTTTTTATTATTATTTAAGAACGAATTACTTAAATTACGTTCAGAAAAAGAAAAAAGAGTCAGAAAAGTTAAAATAACTTATTTTAGAATTTTCCAAAAAATATAAAGCTGCGAAAACTTAAAAACATACCATAAAGTTATAAATAATTGCTCCAAAGCATCACCTGCATCGGATTCGCTAACGTTAGCAGTATCGTCATTACGGATGCTGCCTTGCAATGGATTCTATTTCATTCTCCTAAGGTGAGTCTCACAAATGAATCGTCTTTACTTCCATTCAAAGAATTCCAAATTCCACATTTTTTAAAAAGAAAGATATTGCAATTACATATTAATGTACAATTTGTCACGTGTCTAGTATAATTTGACGCTTGACGATGATAGGAAGAGCCCGGATATTTCTTACTTTCGTAAGTTTTATTTTCTTATCATTAAGGCCCGGATTTTGATGACATTTACATTTTTTTGGATTTTTGGACATTTTTTGTCCTTTAGAGCATTTTTTTAGATTTATAGGGCATTTTTCTTTAAATTTTGAGGCGTATTTTGCATTTTAAAGCACTTTTTTGAATTTTTGATAATTTTTTCTAATTTTTATTATTTTCTATAATTTTTTATTATTACACTGGCTTCCAAACAATGAAGAAAATCTCTAGGATATTAACAGGTGAAGCAACATCTTTTCAAATTGAGGAAGAATTGTCAGTAAGTGTGACCGTCCTTTTCAAGTACGCACCAATAACATCAGTAGACGTTGAAAGAAGCTTCTCTTAGTATAAAAAGAATAGAGTATAAAGACAAAGACGCTCGTTTACATTTCAAAATATTAAAAAAAAATTAATAATCCAATGTAGTTCTGATATTTAGTAATATAATGAGATGAAAGTTGTTATATTCATTAAAGTTTCGATACAAAATGAAAATGTTTTGGAGACAATATATTTTCCTTTTTTTTTGTTATTTTAGGATATAAAACATATTTGTCAAACTTAAATGAACGTAGAACAAGTATTGCATTGCTTTATATTTTTTGAAACGTCTCATAAAAATTTTAAAGAGAAAAACATTGTTTTAGTTCAATATTTTTACCACTACGAAGTCAAAACTAGACATTTTCAAAGTGCGAAGTTTCTCGAATTTTGCATCAAAATTTGAATTTGTCCGAAAGTTTCTGCAAACTTAAATATTTTTTTTTTACTTTTTTATGCTTCCTTAAATATTGACTATTTAACTGTCGTAAAAAATATACCCCTCCCCGAGATCTTTATGTTATTAATTCACGCTTGTGTAGATGTTAATCAAAAGTAGTAATAAAAAATAAAAAAAGAAAGAAAGATTCAGAGAGAGATTATATTTTAGCAGATATAAATTTGAACATTTATATTGAAAATTCTAAAAATAAAAACTTAATAAAGAGCGATAAAAACTGTTCTCTATTTGAAATGCTATAAGTCTTGTCAACGAGTAAAATTACTTTTCATTTATTTTTCTTCTTTATGAAACAGCACAACCAGTATTCTTTAAGTTAAATTTCATTCAGTTTAATTTAATATTTTAATTTGACTTCAAGAAAGGCTTAAATAGCATTAAATTACTCTTAACAGAATGTTACATCTACTGAATTCAAATCTCAGGAAGTCCGCAAAAGTTACTGTCGATCTTTATCAATAGCTTCTTGCAGTGGTGGATCAGGGTCGGTCCTCAAAGACCTGAAAATGTGATCCTTGAAAATGGATTTTCCTTGAAGGCGGGGACCTTGAACCCTAAGCCTTTTTTGAACTAAAAAACCATTTGAAAAAAAATTATTTAATTTAAAATTTTTTTTTGTCGGAATTTGGTTTATTTTTGGGATTATGAATAAAATATTTACTTATATGAATAAGTCTGAAGCTATGTAAGTGTGTCATAATTTAAATAACTATAGGGAGCTGCATGTTCAGCCTAATGCATGTGCATAAAATTCTGAGTTACTAAACCTTTGAGACCAAGGGGCCCCTTAAAAATCACCCCCCCCCCACAAAAAAAGTTGAAGGAGAAATACGTTTTTGAAAAATAATAATTCAAGTTTGCAGTGATGAATTTTGAAACCAAAACCTACGCTGTAACGACGTAATGGGCATTAAACTCTGAGTTGACAAACTTTTTTTTTGGGGGGGGGGAATAATAATACGTGGTCTCGCGTATTTAATACCTTCATAATACCTTCGTATGCCTTCAAAACGTGTGAGAAGAGGAGGCCCCCTTAAAATCAGTCATCCTTCTTCCTTTAAAAATAGAAGGGGGGAAAAAAGAAGAAAAAAAAAACACCTTCACGAAAATGATACTTCATTTCTTTGCTTCAACTTTGCAATAATGAATTATGAAACAAAAGCATACTTATTATTACGGCTATAATATTGATTTCTGTTTAATTAATTCTGTTAATGTTAAACAGAAATAAAGTAATAAATTATAAAATTTGCCCAGCTTTATCAATGCTAATTTTAAAAAATATATTTTATAGGTTTATATCCTTAATTATTTGAAGCAATAATATTCTTCTATGCAATATAAAAAAGTTGGACTTTACAACATTATTTATTGATGATACTTTAAATAAAGTATTATTTTCACTCTTCCCAAAATTAAATAGCCGTAGCAAAATTATTTTTTTATTTTATTTGTTTTTGCTTTTATTTCATCAGTACCACAAGTAATAAAACGTTATTCATTAGTTATTTATTTCATTTGCAGAAAAGCAAGTAATTTATTTCTGTCAAAAATATCCTTTTGTAAAATTTTAAAAATTTGGACATAGCGACAAAGCTGCGCTTTATTTAAAGTGCATTTACAGAAAGATAAAAGAGTAAAAGAAAGTAATAAAGTATAAAAGAAAGGAATAACTTACCAAAAGTGGTATTTTAAATAATATACGTACCACTTTCATATACTAAATTAAATATGGCCACAAATATTATTTAATTATGAATATTCATTTTTTTAATAAAATAATATTTGTATGTAATAATAAAATATAAAACCAAGACAGTCGTCTTTAGTGTAATAATAGAACAATTCAAGAATTTGTAATTGGACTTGAAATGGAGAAATTTTTTTCAGCATATTCTGGTGTATAAGTCGACTTTTCAAACCCCAAAATCTTACGAAAATCAGGGGTCGACTTATACGGCGGGAATAAAGTGAACACTTGTTTTTATTATTATTTAAGAACGAATTACTTAAATTACGTTCAGAAAAAGAAAAAAGAATCAGAAAAGTTAAAATAACTTATTTTAGAATTTTCCAAAAAATATAAAGCTGCGAAAACTTAAAACATACCATTAAGTTATAAATAATTACTCCAAAGCATCACCTGCATCGGATTCACTAACGTTAGCAGTATCGTCATTACGGATGCTGCCTTACAATGGATTCTATTTCACGTTTATACACGTAACACGTTTATATTCTGCAGAAAACAACNGATGAAATTA